AATAATCTCCCCACAAAGCACTGTGTGAGCTGAAGAGAGAGGAACATTTTACGACTCATGTTCAAGTCATCCAGTGACAGCCCTGCATTCCCACTGATTCCCACAGGACCACCTTCCCCCAGTTCTAAAGATCTAATAAGGAATGAGTTAAGTTCTGAAGAAAGGGAGACTTGGAAAATCAGCAATGATGCTGTATTTCATGCAAGTCCAAGGGCTTCATTTTCAGGGAACTTAGAAAGGTTTAAAATCCATCTGCAACGTAGTAACGTTAGGGCATTGTGTCCGAAGACCTGGCTAAATATGTGCAGGCAGTCCCATCATGTCAAGGGGCATGTTTCTTTCCCATAGATAGGAGCGACTCGCGCTTGCACCCGCCGCACACATGGCTGGAAGTAAGTTTCGCTGCATCAAGTGGAATTTCCCCCGCCCCCAAGCATCGCAAACGTTCGGCTGGAAATCTGTGTTTTGTTTTGTTTCCAAGTTATATTTCCTTATCCACCCCAAGAGAACCCAGGTAACTCTCTCTCTCTCTCTCTCTCTCTCTCTCTCTCTCTCTCTCTCTCTCACAGACAGACAGACAGACAGACAGACAGACAGACAGACGTCCTTCAACTTTCAGATTCCCGGTACGGGCTGCGCTAAAATGACGCCACATCCCTCTGCCCGGATTTCAAACGGCCCCCCGCCTGCTCTCATCACCGAAACCCAATAAAACTTTGGGCCGATGCGGCGTTTTAGTTAATGCCGCAAATGATGCCAGATTCGCCTGCAAAGCCACGTCCCTGGTGGCTTGTAAAGGACGAGCGAGCGAGCCCCGATAGGAGGATTAAAGCCTGAGTGCGAAGCCACCAGGAAGGTCGAGGACGTAACCGGGAGAAGGCGGCCGGCGAGCTGCCCGTCCCGCGCGAGCCGCCGGCGGAAAGAGCATCGCGGCGCGCCCCGCCATTCCGATGCAGCGCCGGAGGCAACGAGCGGCTCCCGCGCCGCAAGGCGGCCGCTTCCTCCGGGCCGAGGCCTTCCCCGCGCCCGCCCCGCCGCGCCGGTGCCCCCGCCGCGGGCGCCGGCGGCGGAGGCGCGGGTGCCGCGGTCCTGCCCTGTTGGGCGAAGCGCGGCGCGCTCCTTTCCATCTGTCACTCCCCTGCCGAGACGAGGCCGCCGAGCGGCCGGGAGCTGGGAGCGGGCGCAGCGGCGGGGTGGGGCGGAGAGGCCGGTGGCGACGGCCGCCGGCGGTGGGTCAAGGGAACCGCAGCCTCCCCCTGTGGTCCCGATCCGAAGGCACGGGCCAAGGGCCCTGCAGTGGGGATGGGGGCGAGGAGAGGAGAGGAGCGGCGGCGTCTCCCAAGACGGTGCGCCGGGCGGGGAGGGGGTTGGCCGGAGCAGCTAATTTCGTCCGGCTGAATGTGCCGGTGTCCCAGGGCTCCGGCGCCTCGCTCCCTTGACGCGGGTGAGCGTCCTCAATAGTCCCCTCCAGCGGGAGCCTTTGATGCCGCCGCCGCTGGCGCCTAAAGACAACATCACTTGTCTGCCTATTAGAGGCACTGACTAATCGTGACAGATTGTTTATTCTCGCAATTAGCGATGCAGCCGCTTCTTGGAGCAGCCGCGCCCCCCCCCCCCCCCCACTGGGCCGGCCTTTCCTCCAAAGGGATCGATCGCAGACACGGGGGGCGCGGGCGGCGAAGCTGCTCTCGGTTGGTTCCCACAGACCGGAGAGCGGAATCTGGCCTCGGTGGCCGTGATGGGAAACGAAGGAGCCGGAGCCGGGGAGAGGGGGTGGGGGTGGGGGTGGGGGTGGGGAGAGAGAGAGAGAGAACGAGAAAGGTTCGTGACCCACGGTGCTACTTCTGCTCCGGGCCTACATTTCAAGTAACGGAAATAATTGGTCGTTTGATTCAAGGAAGCCCAAGTATTTTGACCTAACTTTTTACGAAGAGGAGCAGCAGACTGGAAGAGGAGCTTGGCTTCATCTCTTGAAAACATCTCACTCAGAAAGATCCCACATTCTCCGTGGGTGGACACGGAAGGAAAAAGACCCAAAATGAAGCTTACCTCTGTTTAACGTTGAGACATGTGAAAACTCGCTGTCGTATTTATGTCTAGGCACGAATGTCCGATTCACAACCATTGAAACGGTTCCGGCTGCAGAAGTTGCATCCAGTTAGTTCCCACCACAAAGTCAACTGCACCGTTGTGGTAAATCCCACTGTTAACCAAAGAATTTACTACTCTCGTTGTGTCTTTAATCCCGGGGTGATGCCCTACCACGCAGGCATACCTATTCTTTCTTGGTTCATTTACACAGATGCTCACAATAAATACACATATCCTAGAGAGGTATATATTTGAATCAAATATTGTATAGACCTTATATGTCTCAGTCTTCAGATAATTTTCCCATGCCCATGCGCATATGGACTGGCTATTTTGCTGACACTTTCAAGCCCACAAAATACTTCTTCACACAGGCAGGCAAGTGCCTCCCCCACATCCCATCTCCATATCGTGTCACACAGAACATGTTCTCTACACATCGCTCTCTAGCGCACTGGGGACACCAATCAAACTTACTCGCTTAAGAAGCCTCACTGGGTTCAGCAGGAGTTGAATATACATTTTGTAATTGTTTGGATTTAAATTTAATGGTGTCCTTGAAAAGGAGCATTATTTAAAATTACTACTACTACTATGATAGCATAAGTGGACAAAAGGATGGAAGCAAATTTACTGTGTGTCAGAGCAGAGCTTTGTCAATATTCGTTTGTTATTCATAACCCAAGACAAGCGAAACCTGCAAGTTCTTCCTTCAAGGATTTTGAATTCTGTCAGGAGGACAACTGAAGAGAGGGGGAAGTGCAGTTGCTCGGGTTTTGTCTCCAGGTGATGCAGGCCATGTGGTGCATTGGCTGAAATGCTGAATTATGACCGAGAAGAGGTCCAGGTCGAAGTCTCAGTTTTCAGTTTCCTTGGATGAGCCTTTTTCTCATTCTGACCTACCTCATAGGGTTGTTGAGAAGATAAAAGGGGACGTCCATGTGCAAAGGGGAGTTCCTCGGGGCAAAGTGCAGAATATAAATGTATTTACGGACATAATAATGCACGTTGGGTTGGGGTTACAATTTAACATATTGAGTCCATTCTGGATAGGTGTAGATGGGAGCCCAAACACAGCCAGCCATTAGAAGGTCCACCAATCTCTGTTGGGATCCATATTCAATTCCTGCTCATCCGCTCCTCACGAATCAGCGAGCACAGCCCTGCCGGGACGGTGACATCCAGCCAGCCCATAATCTAAGTATGCATAATCTCCCATCTTCGGCGGGTCCAGTTAAAAAGACCGGGTTTCTGCTGTCCCTCCCTGTTTAGATAATTACCCTTAAATGACGGCAAGAGCCTCTTGTGTTTCGCCGAGATTAGAGCCCCGCAGCTATCAATAAACTTTTCTCAGCAAGCGGCCAATCCCATTATTAGAGAGAGCTGCGCCTTTTACTGCAACATCCGTCCTGGTCACAAGGATAAGGGATCGTAAAAGGCATTCACGAAACAAAATCTCCTTTTTAAGACCTTAATGGGTCGGGACTAGAGGTTAGACTTCCTGTTGGGTATTAAAACTCAAATCTCTAGGCACGTTTATAATTATCAAACGGAATGAACCCGTCGTCACACTATATATCTTATCGGTCGAAACACACACATCTCGCAGATACCGTAGATACAAAGAGTGTGCGTTTTTACTTCACTTCTCTTCGCTTGTTTGTTTGCTGAATTGCCTCTCGGAAACCGATGAAAACTAGTTTTAGAATAGGTCATTTAAAAAGGTCATAACTGGGGCACTCAGAAACACATTTTGTTGCGGAGATGAATTTAATCGAGTTTAGTCCAGCTGACTTTACTGTGGTTATAAATAAACGGACGGCCGCATGATGTGTATCCACCGAGCAGTATATGGCGTTCTCTGTATCGTTCTGCTCTTGCTTGCTTAGCCCTTATTTTACCAATACAGAAGCACCGACGTTGCGCTCCTGTCTACACTTTCTTGAAGTAAGCTCCACAGAACTGAATGGGGCTTACTTCCGATGAAAACATACTGCAAAGGATACAGCCAAAGGTCAGCGCTTTTCATTCCCATGAATTTCAACCGGAAAGCGAAAGTTAATCCTGTTCAAGTAATTCTGCATTACACTGCCTAAATGAGCTGGATCTTGCCCTAAACGGGGCTGGGGTAAACACCAGGGGGAGGGGAGCTTCGCATACGTGCTATTGATCATTACGCATAGAGATTCCCACGCGCGCAAAGGAAGCCCCTATTCGAAGAAGATGACAGTAAGAAACACACGGAGAAAAGGTCCGGCGAAGTAATGCACAGCATCTTTTACCGCCGGTGCTCGGGAGGCGGTGGGATTAGCCCTGGACATCGGGAAACGACGCTTTCGGCCACCGAAACGAACGTGCCCAGACGCGTTCCCGAATTTCCACTCCAGAGAGGATGGGAAGGGAAGGGAAGGCAACCAGAGCAGAACGAGCGAGCGCAGCCCGAGCCGTTCAGAGCGCGAGCCGGGGGTGCCCCAAGCTGCCCGGCGGCGAGGGACCAGGCGCGGCCGCCCAGCACCTCCGCGCTGCGGCGCAAAGTTTCTCGCCGCAGCCGGGCGGCCGCAGCCCCGCGCAGCGCGCGCTGACACCGGCGAGCTCTCGCCCCCGCCGCGCGCCGTCTCGGGCGCGCCGCGTCCAATGGCGGACGAGAGGACCACCCCTCGGCGCGCGGATTGGCCGCAGGCGGAGATCCCTCGCTTTATTAGCAAGTCCGGCTCGCGAGCGGGCCTCGGAAAGTGCCCCGAAGCCCAGCGAGGAGGCGGAGGCGGCGGCGGCGGAGGAGGCGGCGGCGGAGCAGCAGGAGGAGGAGGAGGAGCAGGAGCAGCAGCGCGGACTTGTCCTGGCTCCGACGGCGCCCCCACCTCCATGACCAGCTGGGATCCCCCGAGCGCCAGCGGGAGGGTCGGCGCTGCATGGCCCCGGGGCTGGAAATGACTTCTGTCCAGAGCGGGGTCAGCGCGGAGGACTCGCCTTCGCCGGCCTTCGGCAAGCCGGGGCCGGCGGGGGCCCCTGGGGGCGCCATGGGTGGAGAGGAGGACGGCGACAAGCCCAAGGCGGCGCCGGCGCTGCTGCCCTTCAGCGTCGAGGCGCTCATGGCCGACCACAGGAAGCCCGGCGGCGGCGGCGGCGGCGGCGCCAGAGACAACCTGGCCAGCGGGGCCGACCTGGGAGCGCCCTCGGCCCAGCAGAGCACCCTCAGCCCCAGGCTGGCGGGGCCCTCCGCCTCGGCGCCGGAAAGACCGGCCTCCCCACTGGCCATCGCCAGCCATTTTGCCGTCGGGGGATTAGTCAAACTGCCCGACGAGGCGCTTGTCAAAGCGGAAAGCCCCGAGCAGCCGGTGGACCGGACGCCGTGGATGCAAAGCCCCCGCTTCTCCCCGCCTCCTCCAAGTAAGTGGGCCAGCCGGGGAACTTCGGACTGCCTTGGAAGGAGGGGGGCCCTGAGAAGGAAGCCGATACAGCGCACGGCTGTTGTTCAGTGCCCAGCTGAGTGCGGGCGCTTGCACTGGTCAGCCGGTTTCGGGGACTTTTCCTTTCACGTAAAAGTGCGGAGAGGGTTCGCAATACGGCTGAGGTCGCTTCCAGTCCTGGAACTTCATTGCCTGTAAACGCACGAAGCTTCCTGGCCGAATTAATTCCACTGCCTCGAATGGGTCGGGCGCTCAAACGTGCTTACTTGGAAGTAAGCACCATCCGTTTCTAATGGGGTTGCTAAAATGTCCTTTGGTCTCGGCAGGACTTGCTTCCAAGTTAAGTGTCATAAAATAATGGTGCTTTGGTGTGGCCTCATGTGAACCCTAAGCACCTCGGAAGTTGGTATCCACGGAGCTTCCGAAAAATGTAACTGAGATCAGATTCAAGGCAACGTAGGCTGATGCCTCCCGCTGTCCCTGGTCTGGCTGGAGCGCGGCTGCGAACTCCCTCAGCCCTAGCGCTGTGGAAGCGTGTTGTCGCGGCGGGTCTTTGCAAGGACGTCCCTCCCGCGCAGCACGGCCCCGGCCTTTCCCGGGCAATCGTAGCGGTTCGGACGATCGCCGGAGAAGGCCCTTTCGAGCAGCAATAGCTGCCCGATCCCGCCTGTCGGCACCCCAGTCCTGTCCGCACAACCCAGTTAAGCTAGGCGCCCAGATTACCACGGAAGGCCTCTTTGGTTTCGTTGCGCAGACAGCGGGCTTGGTTCGGCTGAACTGGGTGCCGACCCGATTGCCGGTCACATTGCGATCCTATGGCGGGAGGCTTTTCCGTGGAGGAGCTGCAGAGGTCTAGGCTAAAAAAAGGTAAGGGGCGTGTGGATCCCGGGCGGAGGGTAGCGTGGTTAATCTGCTGGGGAAAGGCGATGTCCTGGATGTCCTTGACAAGTTGAAGAGCTGCGTGTAAGTTTGAGAAATAAGCAAAACATTAATAAAGGTCAATTCAATATCAACGTGAAAAACGAAGTCAATTGGAAAAGTGTGCCATTAGGAAGCCCAGAGATCCCAGGCTGTTTGTGTACTGGGTTTCCGTCAAAGAGTCTTGAATTACTTTAGCAGGGTGCCACTTGGATGATGTTGTGGCTTACTCCCAAGTAAACCGTTTAGGATTAAAGGTGTAAGACTGCACGCAAAATTAAGGAGGCAAACTTCAGCCCGGTAAAGCTTTTCCAGACCACTGATGCCGTTAAGCCACGGTCCCTGATCTTAAGGACGGAACTCTGAATTAAGTGTGCTTAGGAGTGGCCTGCCTGGGAGAGGAGTTAACTAGAACTTCCTTTTAGCTGGGATGCAGCCCTTAAAAGATGATAGCACAGTTACCATAAACTAATCTGACTTTGATCCTAAAGGCACTTTCCCTACACACTACTACACCGCATTGGTGTCAGCACCACATACCTTTTGTCTGATCAGGTAGATGGTGTCGGAGGAGGAGGCGTCTACAATGTTTGCACAAATGTTTCAGTACTACTTCACAGATCTTTCTGATTGAAAACACTTTCGAGTAATCCTCCCCCCCCCCCATCACCTTCCGCCTTTTCTTTTTTAAGGTATTATTGGGAAACCAAACTAAAGCCAGGATTCTTTGCACTTTATGTTAGGCTCTGGGCCATTGTGGATGAGATTAATGGTTCAAGTTGGATCCTCTGCCTCTGCATTTGATAACTGCTTTTCAAATACATTTTATGCAGACATGTTTCTGAGTGATTAATGTGCTAAAAAATAAATCCAGCACTCCAAATTATTTCAGGGGGACAATAATCCATATTTCCTGTTAGCAAGTATAGCAGAATTTGGCCTACTTATGGAATCCCCAAGAATACACAAAATCCAGCTGTGTAGACACACGCTTTGGGAATATTATGAAAGGTTGCCATGCAGTTTTTTCAATGGCTGTAGAAATTAAATATTACAAAAACATTCTTCAAATTAGCCTTGTATCTTATGTAAGCCTTTGTATAAGAAAGAACCCAATCCACTGGAAAATTCTGTTGCAAAAATATTTTAACCTCACTGGAACCCATATCAGTGTAGCTCTGGTTTATTTCAATGGCGCTTGTTCAGGAGAGCTTCCTGGTGGTTGAAATCGAAATGATTTTGTTTATCGGCCACTGACAGTCAAACTCAGCAGTGCAAACCCTGTGCAGTTTTGCCTAGAAGTAAGTCCTGGTGGGCTTAATGGAACTTGCTTCCAAGAAAATGAGCGTTTGATTGCAGCCTGAATCTCTTTTCAATGAATGAAAACTGTACAACTATCTTCTTTGTCCTACAGTGGGGATCCTTGGAGTGAATGTGATTTGAGGCTGCAAGTTAGAGTGCAACTTCTGTGGAATAAACTCTGTTAGATCTGTCAGATTTATTTCTAAGTAAATGTTTTTAGAAATCTCCAGTCTAATACTTTGGCTCAACTGGATGTGGAACAAAATGCTGAAAGCAATTTTTTTAAAAAAACAGGCCATGAAAGAGAAAGAAGTTTCCATTTTTATTTCCATTAATGACATGTTGAAACAGTAATGATGTTTCCCAAGAATATAAAAATAGGATGTAAATGACAGGACTTGCTCTTCTGATTTTGTTTTTATTTCAGTAAAATACATTTTCCTTCCTGTCCCTTCTCTCCTGTCTTCCCTCTCAATATTTTATACATATCTTGAATATGAAGGCATTCATATTTTTAAAGGAAAGCCTTCAGTCCTGTGGCTTTCTCATTGTGGGAACTCTTTTTGAGGGTTTATTGGCTGTGATGAAACATTTGACCCAGAGGAGCACTTATCTGGAAATAAGTGTAACTGAAGTCAGTGGATAGAAACAAGCTGCACAGGTGATTGCGCCTTTTACAGGGACCCCTGGGCCCCTGATGGAAGGTGGGTGAGAACCTTTCTCAAATCTGGGGCCACTTAAAACGAGCACTGTCAGATGATTTTTAAAGCCAACTCATTTTGAGTGCTACCTGTTTGCCCCCCTTGATAACTGTGGTCCTCCTTCCTCACCAAATATGATCCTATCCTTTGCCCATAGTGCAGTCCATCTTCTGTTCCTTTGTGGGAGCAACTGGATTTCAGGCCAATGTACAGCCTGATTCCTCTCCTGATTTAACTTGGAAGTAAGTCCACTGTGTTAAAAAGGGCTTGCTCCAGAGTAAGTGTGCATAAGTGTCTCAAACAAAACAAACAGGATCAGTTAGTGTAAAACTGTTTGAATCTGACAAGTTATGTTAGCCTGAATTTTGAACCTAAACTTGCCAAGGATTTGGTAAGAACTTTCCCAAATTAATTGTGGAAATTCCCAAAAAACCTTTCCCTACATTTCAGTTAATCAGAAGTGTGAGGCTTTAAAGCCAGTCTGACCCAATGACTTCACTAGGGCTAAAGTTGCTGCAGATTGAGCCAATTTTGGAACAAGCTGTGAAACAGACTTCATTTTTGCAGGCTGTTTCTGAACATGTTTACCCTGAAGTAGAGTTCAGTGAAGTTTACTTCCCAGTAATTGAGTTAGGATCGCAACCCCAACAGGTTTAGAATCCACTCTTCTAAAGGTGGTAGTTGGCTGCTGCAGCAAAGCACCCGTGGGGGACAACATTCCAGTTCCATTGAAGTCGCTGACACTGAAACATTTGGGTGGTGGCCTTCTCCTCATACCTTTGGGTACGAAGAGGAGATGCTACTTTTCCCCTACATTTCCTGAGTCTCCCTGAGTTGTGGGACAGAATTGCCCCAGCAGGTAGTGATGGGGGGTGGGCCACACCAAGCCCCCCTCGGCTTAATGGACATCACTGTCTCCACAGGGCGAGCCAGCCCACCGGCCTGCACTCTCCGGAAGCACAAGACCAACCGCAAGCCGCGAACACCCTTCACCACGGCACAGCTGTTGGCACTTGAGAGGAAGTTTCGGCAGAAGCAGTACTTGTCCATCGCTGAACGTGCTGAGTTCTCCAGTTCGCTCAGCCTCACCGAGACACAGGTCAAAATCTGGTTCCAGAACCGGCGTGCCAAGGCCAAGCGACTGCAGGAGGCTGAGCTGGAGAAGCTCAAGATGGCAGCCAAGCCCATGCTGCCCCCTGCGGCCTTTGGCATCTCCTTTCCGCTGGGTGGCCCAGCTGTGGCCGGTGCCTCCCTGTATGCCTCGTCAGGCCCCTTCCAGCGCGCAGGCCTGCCCGTGACCCCTGTGGGACTCTACGCTGCGCATGTGGGCTACAGCATGTACCATCTCACCTAGAGAGCTGCTGCATGCCCTCCGGGGAGGATCTGGGCTGAGGCAGGCAGCCTTCTCAGTAGCCGTCCTGGAGAAAAGGCCGGCGGGGCACTTTGCCCCTCCTGCGCCTTCAGAGAAAGACCGCAGCCAGCTGGGAGGTAAGGAAGGAAGAAGGAATGACTGCCCCGGCTTGGCTTGGCTCTGCTCGGCTCGGCTAGCTTGGGGAAAAATTGATCTCAGAGGACCAGAGCATCTCACAGGCTTTGGCTGGGGACTTTATGGATGCCCAAGGCTATGGGGACTGCTCCCGCTGCTCTTTGCCTCCTGATCTTGCAGCATGCCCTGAATAGAGGGCTCTGTGTACTGTGTAATATACTGTACAGCTGAAAATTTATTATCGTTTATATTAATAGCTATATTTGATAAATAAATTAATTTTAAACCTTGAGTTGACGGGGTTGGATATTGCTTTCCACCCTAACAGGTCTAACAGATTTTATTCCATCTAATGGCTCTGGGCTCTACCAAGAAGGTTGATTGTGTTTATTATCTTGCTCTTAACCCATGCCTCTGTGAATTCATTGTGATGCTGGCAACTTCTGCCTGGGTTGTGCTCCCACTTTGGAAGCACTACTGATTTCAAGAAACTTATTGCCAAGTAATGTTTCAGGGTTTGTAGCGCAAATAATTAGATTGGTTTCTTTCTTAAGAAAGGCAGTGTATTTTTTAAATAGATTCCCAAGTTGGATTTCCTAGTTGGAAAATAAGTCCAGTCTGCATAAATAGGATTTCATAGTAAGTTTGCCTTGGTTCTTTTGGTTTCTTAATAAGTTTAATAATTTTCCATGGTGCCTCAAAACTGTCTCTATAAGTACAAGTAGGGTTAGGGTTTTTACAAAATCCTTTCTTTCCAAGCATATTTATTTCAAGACTACAATTCCAGGGGCAATTGAGTCAACTGAGTGGGTTTTAAGGCAGTGCAATCTGCTTCCACTGGACAACTTAAAAATAAGTTCAGTTAAGCTAAAATTTAATGAGATTGCAATCTGGTACAGACTTGCTGAAAATGGGAATTGCATCGTTGTTCTTGTTTGGTATAGGTGAAGTGACTAATATTGAATTCAAAAAGTAAAACATACAGGTAAACACAGATAAATTCTGATTTGCATTCTGATTCTTGCAACCAGGAAAGGATAAGTAAATCCCACTTAGTTCATTTGGAACTGTTGAAGTGAATGAGGCACACTTTTCAGTCTTTTGACGGTGGGATCCTGAGCACACTTCAGTCTTGTACTTGCTTTCCTGGGAAGAGCCCCTTTGAACTCAGTAGAACATACTTTGAAGTAGGCATGCTGGAAGTAAATCCAAACTGGAATTGGTGGATTGCATTTCCAGCTAAAACACAGCTTGTTAATGGGAGAAAGGGAAAATAATGGCAAAAAGTAGGTATAAGAAATGTGGGAAATGACCTGTCTCAGCACTTTGTTTTCATGCTGTGTGTAATGCACACCTTTGCAGTGAATTCCCTTGAGCGCCCCCCTCCTGGCAGAGCACAGCAGCTTTTTACCACTGTCATGGAACTCAGCTCCACAGACTCGGTGGAAATCACTGTGTTCAGGACAGAGATTTTGAATGCATAGAACTAGGTTGTTTGGCTGTGGGTTGAGGCTGCCAGCCTGTAAGTGGGTGGAAAGATTTGTCAAGTTGATTGTTGGGGGATGGGGGGCAGAGGTGTTGCGAGAGCTGCTGGTCCTTTAGGGGATTCTGCAAGGAGCCCTGAAGTTTGGGGGGGGGAAGGGGCGTGGGTGGGCTGAAGGGCCCGGATGTGCTCCCCACCTTCATTTTTTTCTGCACTCCACAAGGTCAACTTCCACCAGGCTCTGATTGAAGTCTGAACTTGTCAAAACTCTACTTCAGAAAATGCTGGAGACATTAAAGAGATTCAGTTACAAGTCGCAGGAATGCTTGTAAAAGACTATAACGGAGAAGTAGGCACAGGGTGGGAAAACAGTCCAGGACAGGTTTGTGCATATGCTGGCGCCCAAATATGGCCATGTTTTTTGGTTGCCTTGACCGAGCCGCATGGGGTAGATGGAGGGCAGCTCTGCCGCCCCGCAGCTTCCTTGGGAGGCTTCACCGATGTGTTGAAGTCAAAATCCTGGACAAGCGGTTGTCAGACTAAACTGGGGCTGTGAAAGAGGGGGGAAGTTCCTCTGATTTGCAGACGTTTAAAAGACGGCATTGCAGGCTTAAAATCTTTTTGCTGGTAAAAGGAGGACGCAGGAGGCGGCACAAGAAACTGAAGGGAGCCCTGCCGGCTAGAGGCTTGATTCCGGGAGCTGTACTCCAGGCATCTGGAGGGCTCTCGGCCACGGAAAGCTTCCCTGGAAAGCGCCACCCTGAGGCAGCCCGCGGCCCTCCCTGGGCAGGCAATCCGGGCTGCCACGAGAAGGCAGCAGGTCGGTCGCCGCTCGCCGTCGTGGAGATGTCTGCGAGGAGGCTGCGCTGCGCACACCGGGACGTCGGGCGGCAGGGGAAGTCCGCGCACAGCTTGGCCTCCGCTTAGCGGCCGGTATCGTGCTGGCTCTGCCTCTCCGAGTTAGGGAAGGCCCGAGTTGGCCGGCCATCTTTCCGGAGCCGCCACATACAGTAGGGAGGATTGTTCGCGCCCCCCATAGCCAGTTCGGTCGAAAGCGACTGATTCTTCGGCATCCACAGCCTGCTCCCAAACGCGCTTTACGCAGTTGGCTCCTAAAGGCGGCGGGCGTAGCAGCGATCCTATGCGCGCTTCCCCGGGCGCCAGCCCCCTTCAGCTCATCTGTGCTTCCGAAGAGAGCACTGCCGGGGCTGCCGCGGCGCCTGCAGTCCAGCCCAGCGCTCCGGACTCACTCGGCCTGCGAGTCGTGCTTCAGCCGCGTCTTTGTTCCCCACACCAGCCTTCGCCCTTTGTCGGGGCTCTCACGTGCGGCAATGCTCAGCCCGGGGGGGGGGGGGGGGGAGGCGAGAGCCCAAGCATTGCCGCAATGAGCCGCCCCGCGCCTCCCGTGCTCGGCAGCGGCCGGGTGGCTCCAAGCAGGCTGCAGCTGGAGGCCAGGCTGGACTTGGCAGCAGCGAAAGAACCCCGTCCAACCTACCTGCGCCCCGCGATTTTCTGCAGAGCCCAAGCGTCCGGCTTGCCTTTATGCTTGCCCTCGCCCCGCCTCTCCTTCCCGATATTTCTGCCCTTGTTGTAGTCCCGGTGGGCTGACGCCCTGTGCCGATGCCAAGAATGGCAGGGAGGCTGCGGAGGTGTTTCCCACGTTCGTCTGTCTCCCAAGAAAGTGTCAAGCTGAAGAAACTCCCCCCCTGCGCTGTCTTTCAAGCGGGCGCAGACGTTGTCGCCTGCTCTTCAGACGGCCTGCTTTCGTTTCCTTGCCGAACACACAACACACTGGGCGCCCTTGAGTCCGCGCAGCGCATAGGGGCTGCCCCAGAGGGAACGAAAGGGGAACTGGTGGCCAAGAGCCCAGGCCATTCCGCTGAGCGCCGAGGGACTCCTCGAAGCACGCTTGAAAGGGAGAGCTGTCCGCTTAGGCATAACAATAACGGCGCAGTTCCGACTAAATCAACAGAGGCAGAGGCAGAGAGCTGGGATTCCGCAGCTCCCACCCTCGCCGCACTCTTTTTGTTGTGCAAACCAGGGCCGGGCCTCTCGGACGCCCAAACGCAGCCTCCGCTTTAGAACTCGGCTTTCCCCCTTCCTCGACCCTTGGGCTAAAGTCCTTGGCTGCTCAATTAAACCCAGATGAGAACGATTAATAACGAAGTAATGACAATAAGTTGGGAATCACACGCCCGAGCGCCCCTGGTGAATAGGAGAAGCCGGCACAAAAGAGCCGCGGAGAGAGGCGTCGGCGGCGCTTTTCAAGCGCCGAGCCGGCCTCTCCTTTCTTCTCGCCGTTCGCCTCCGGCCTTAACCAGCAAATCAAGCTCGCTTTGGTGTCTTTGTCGCTTCTGGAGCGGCTCAGTGGGGCAGTGGCAAGCGAGAGGAGCCGCTTTCCTTTTCACTGGACGGCGCTGGCGCCACGCAGCCCCGACGGGACGGTCTAGCCAAAGCAACGGCTCCTTGAGCGCAGCCCAGCTGTCGCGGCGCGGCGCAACAGGGCCCGCCCCGACCGCGGGGCGGCTCGCGAGCGCCCGGGCCCGCTCCTCCCGCGCAGCAATGACAGCGTGCGAGCGTCTCCCCGCGCCACGGCGCCAGGGACGCGAGTCCGCCCCACAAGAGCCGGCGCGGCGTGGAGAGGGCCGACCTTTCGCCGGGCACGCCGGGGCACGCGCAGCAGCGGGCCGCGCGGGCGCCTGTCCTGCGGGAGCCGCGTCGAGCCGGATCCGCCCGGGCCGGTGCGCGGTGCAGGGCGCAGACGGGCGCCTGCTCGCCTCCGTCTCCCGCGCCGGCTTCCGAAAGCGGCTCGCCCGAGCCAGCCCCGCCCGGCCCGGCGGGAACTTTACCTCGCCCCGCGCCTCGTATAGCTCGGCTCGAGGCGACTCGGCTCGGACTAGAAGCGGGGCAGGCGGGGGAGCGTTTGGCAGCGCAGTGCCACAAGGTGCGGCAAGGCAGGCGGTCCGAAGGGTTCGCCTAGCAGCGACTGTTGGCCGAGTCAGCCAGAGAGAGCTGCCATGTGCAGGGGCAGTCTAGCCACAAGGTTTTTACCGGTACTGGGTGCAAAAACCACAGGGCAGGACCGGGCGGCCTTCGTGTTTCTCGGAAGAGCCCGACTGACCGCGTCTGCAAACAGGGGGCTGGACTCGAGAGAATGAATGCTGGCTCGATCGGGCACGGCAGCCACTTTCCTCCGAGAGGACAGCCCTGCCTGCTCGGAACTGCCCTTTCCCAAAGCTTACTTCCCTTATAAGCAGCAGCCAGGTCAATTTCCGTGATACCAGGCGTCGCTTCCTTCTGAAACGCGAGTTCCGACAACACTTTCAATTCGTAGCGGCTCCCTGAGCCCCGATTCTCGCTGCGGCGCTGGCGTGCGCTTGGGCTGTGCGGTCCCAGAAGGAAGACGCGCCGGAGGGTTCGGAAACCCCTCCTGCAGAGGCTCCTTGCAGTGACTTGTTCCCCTAAAACCGCCCTCTCCAAACTACTTTTCTCCCTGAAGTGGGGGACAAATTAGGAGTTCACCTCATT